ATGTGGTTATCAGAGAGACCTCCTGGGGAGTGGCTCCTTGCCTGCCACTGAAACCTATGCTTATTATCATCAGGCCTTTGCTCTTCTAGATACGCCCGAGGGTGGAAAGCACCTTCAGGCAGGAACTCTGATACGGGGCCCTCCTGGGGACTGAGGCCCACTAAAGCTTGGGAATCCCTTACCTGGACTTTCCGAAAGAGTCACAGAGCCTGAGGTTGATCTGTCACTTCAGGGTTACTTTGCCAGAAAGACGCCCGTGTGTTGGGTGGGATTTCTCAAGAAGAGAATGGAGGAGGTCTTAAATTGGCGTGAGGAAAAAGAATAAAATATCTCCTAGTCTCTCTGAGACCAGGACGCAGTTTATCCTGGCAGCTCACAACGCTTTTCTGAGGTAGGCAAGATGAAGTCAGCCAACAGTAAGACAGAGGGCTGGCTAGGAAGAGGTCTGAGCATGGACCTGGACCCCCACCACAGCTGTCAAGATCCTCTGAGTTTTAATATCTCACTCCCATTATCCCCCAAAGTCCCAGAAAGTTCTCATTAAAAGTAAGTTTGGTCTCAGCTGTTCTATGGGAAGCCACGTGCGACGCTTTCAATGTGCCCCCAGTGTTCACGTGCTAGAGACTTTATCCCCCATGTAACAGTGTTGAGAGACGGGACCCGTAAGAAGTGATTAGGTCCTGAGGGTTCTGTCCTCATGAGTAGATTAACAGCCTTATCCCTGGAGTGGGTTCCTGATTAAAGGATGTGTGTGGTCCCCTCCTGCTCACTCTCCCTTTCTTGTCCCTCCGCCTTCCACCATGGGATGATGCAGCATTGAGGCCCTTGCCAGATGCAGGCCCTTCACCTTAGATTTCCCAGCCTCCAGACCTGTAAGAAATAAATCCTGCTCTTTATAAACTACTCAGTCTTAGGGATTGTGTTATAGCAGCACAAATGGACTAAGACACCATGGAGGGTCACAGAGGAGGGGGAGACGCAGGGAGAGCGGCGTCCAACCCCTGCACAGGCCAGAAAGGCCAGAGCAGCAGCAGCCAGGTGGGCAGGGAGCTGAACCCAGCCATGGGACAACCTCGCAGATGTCACCAACAACAAAAAAGGAGCCATGTGGTGGCAGGTGAGAAAGCTGGCACTGAAGAACGGTGAGCACCTTCGAGGTGGTCTCCTGGGAAAGGCTCCAACACCTAGCAGGCTTCCAGGTATGGAAAGAAAGGAATGATCCGTGATTTTTAGAAGTAGGATGCAAGGGGTTCATGCTGTCAGAATTATCTGGAAAGCTAGATCTGAAAGATAAATCATCTATAAGGATTTTCCTTCAAAGCACTTACCCCCAGTTTCATCTTTTATTTATTTGCAACCATCATTGCCTGTCTTCCTCTCCAGACTGTGTGCTTCATGAAGGCAGAGCTGTGTGTGTTTTGCTCATCGCTGTTTCCCCAGCTCCTAGCTGGCACATAGTAGGTACTCAAAAAATGGGGTGGACAGATAAACAATGTAAAATTAAAATGTTCTGGAGTGTTTGATTCGTCTCACTTTCTCTGTGTTGCTAACTTTTTTTTTTTTTTTTTTAACCAAGAAAAGTATATTTTCAAGGAAAGGAAGACATGTTTTTTATGGAAAAAGAGTCATCTCATAAATATAGTGTTGCAGTTTCAGTCTGAGTTGTAGGCATTTATTTATTCATTTATTTATTTATTCAGAGACAGAGTCTCACTCTATTGCCCAGGCCGGAGCGCAGTGGCGCAATCTTGGCTCACTGCAACCTCCGCCTTCTGGGTTCAATCGACTGTCCTGCCTCAGTCTCATGAGTAGCTGGGATTACAGGCACGTACCACCACGCCCAGCTAATTTTTTTGTATTTTTAGTAGAGATGGGGTTTCACCATGTTCGCCAGGCTGGTCTTCAACTCCTGACCTCAAGTGATCTGCCCACCTCGGCCTCCCAAAGTGCAGGGATTACAGGCATGAGCCACCACGCCTGGTCATAAGCATTTACTTAGAAAGGCAAAGGAATGTGGGTGAAAGGTAAAATGTATATCGCTGGAAACACACCCAACAATGATTCTCAGTAATGTCCAGCTTGATGCCCCACAGACACTGCAACATCCCAGAGTGGCTTGTAAATCAAAGGTTACATTCCGCACACAGGAATTGTAGCAGGAAGTGCTTCTTATAGCATTACAATTCTGTGAAAACTGACCATCCACACAGGATAAAACCGCATGCACTATCTTTGGCAAACACTAGTCATCTATGACATATAGTCACTACTCCGGGCACGTGGCATCACGAAGACGCACGAGCCTCACCCCAACTCTGACTGCAAGGGGAGAGAAGCACCAGTCACTCCCAGATAGTGTGGGTGCAGAACAGAAAAGGGAGGCTCTTTCAGAGAGGACTGCAGACATCGGAACAATAAATTGAGAAGTTTAGCATATAATCCCCAGCCCCCTAGCCTAAGAAGGCTCCCCTGACCCAGAGAGAAGGGAAGTTATTGAATTAAATTTTTATAAATGAACATTTGGCACCTTTTACCTCGAGCAGCAATGGGACCTAAGCTCATTTTAAAGCAGTTGTGCTACTCAGGGTCACCAGTCCATCTGGTGCCTAACTCGCAGGGCTGCGTGGTGGCAGTACTCAACGGGCTCTGTGTGCAGGGAGAAATTAATCCTACAGCAGCTACACCAGACAGAGAGAGGTCTCGGCCCAATCCGCAGCAGGGCTTCCTCATCTGCTGGAGTTCTGTCTGAGCATTTCTGCAGCCTAGCCACCACAGAGCGCCGTGCACTTTGGTTTGGATGTTGACTTAATATGAAACTCCAGATAAAAGGAATGAGAAGTCTCTCTTCTCACCATGCCCTCCCCGCCTTCCTTGAACTTGGGGCCAGACCTCTGGGGAACGAGACGCTTGTCTGCACACAGTCCAGAGGCCAGCACCAAGAGGGGACTCCCACCTCTCTCCCTGTTAGGGCTTTCAGAGGGAGCCGGAGCAGTCTCTACCTCGGCCGTGCAGAGCTGGGTAATTACCGGGCGGATGAGCTCAAGCCCCTTGCCCTGCTCACCTCCCACTAAAATGCACGGCACAGCACAATCATGAAATGTGCTTATTAATTTTACTCATTTGACACTGCGCTCTTCTGCCCTGAGCTCGATGTTAGGAGAAAATGATAGGGATAGATTCTGCTCCTGTCAGACTTACCAAGACTTCCAGAAAACCAAACTATCAAAGGCCATCTGCCACCCACTAGCCAAGCAAGCAGGATGACCCTAAAGGTACAAACGGAATGCTAAAGATACAGATCAACAAAAGAGGGCATGGGAAGATGGGGAGACCCCTGCCCTGGGCTCAAGCTCCCTACAAGCCCTCCTAGGAGAGTGACCCCTGAGCCCGTCCTCTCCCACAGCGGGAACTCCCAGTCCCTGCCTTGATTCATGACTTGCTGCTTCATCCCTAATTCATCAAAAGATACTTTGGCTTCTCAAATCAGGAACATTTTTATTAGCTTCCCCCAGAGTTTCGTGGCACAAAGCCATGCCTAATGATTCTATTTTATGGAAAGTTATACATTCAAATCGTGCTTTGAAGTCAAGCAGCAGGAAAGACTCAAATGTTTGTCAGAAAAAGATTCCTTCACTTTTTCACTTTTAAAATGTTTATGAGCTTTCAAACAGTTGGAGAAGGGATGTGTAGCATTTGGACAGGCTCCTCCTTCCTTACCCAGGACCCAGCACTGGCTGACCCAGTACAGATCTGCCTTGACCACTGCAGTTCTCAAAGGGGGCTGATTCTGCCCAGCCACCCCCTGCTCCTGGAGACATCTGGCTATGTCTGGAGACATTCTGGGTTGTCACCACTAGGGGAGGAGGGACAGGTGCTACTGGTATTCACTAAGGAGAGGCCAGGAATGCTGCTTAACATCCTATGAAGCACAGGATAGCACAAAGAATTATCTGATTGTCTTGCCCGAAACGTCAACAGTGCCGAAGTTGGGAAACGCTGCCTTGGGGCATCTTCTGCTGGACCAGGCATTGCATCCTCCTCACTGCAGGACATCAGACACTATTCTAATTGCTGTGGGAGGTTTTCAGTGTTGGCTAATGAGATTTGTGTTCTTTCACTCTTATGTATTCTTGGTGCACATTTTCAGTGAATAAGCACAAAACGTCACAAAGTGAGGAAAGTAAACCTAAGACCACCTTAGAATCTCAGAACACATGATAATATCCATGTTAATTAAACTCCCGTAATGTTCCTCTGTACTATGTAATCAGAATTTTACAACTGAAGCAGAATTTACCTATGGAAACAACAAAATAACCAGTTCCAATCATCAGGACTACTACCAATCATCAGGACTACTACCTGCACAGATGTCTGCTGAAAAGCAAGGAAAGTTCTCCACTAAATTGTGGTGGTGTGGTCAGCCACAGCGCTGGACTTGGAGGGAGTCTGGTCCTGATGATTCACCATATCCAAAGACTGGGACTCTGTTACTTCACTTCTCAGAGCTTGGGTTCTCCTAATCAGCAAAGAGGCGATACAGCTACTTGCCCTCCCAGCCTTCCAAAAGCCCATGAGAGTTAAATGAGTTCACAGGTAGGAAACATTTTAAACTGTAAAGAGCTACACAGATGTAGGACAATGCCTTTACAATATTTACACATGCATGACAATACATGACAACCACCAGGAGTCGTTCATAGACTCTGGATCCTTTTCATGAAATGTCACAACCAGAAGTTGAAAATCAATGAATCTAACTCCTTAATTTTACAGAAGGTGAAAATGACCATCATAGAGGTGGTCAAGGCCAGGAAATGGCCCAGATGGGCTCAGGTCTTCTAACTCCCAAACCAGGATGCTCTCCAGACCCTCCCTTGATTAAGTTCCTAGAGGGAAGAAGCACATCTTAACACGCAAGGGTCAGAGGGTCTTGGACACAGGAGATAAATACTTGTAGAATCAGTGAGCAAAATGTACAAACTAGTATCTTGACTTACTACGTCATAGCCTGTCGGGGCTCGGTTCCGAGAAGCCACCACCCCGACTCCTGTGATGGGATCCATTGACGTTTCTGGCAAGGCTTCTGAGAGGTCTTTGACTTCAGGCATGGTGGACTGGTCCTGGTTCAGCAAAGGAAAAAGAAAGCATAAAATTCAAACATAGCATTTATGTGAATAATATAAAGTCTCAAACAGACAGAACCAGAATCTTGGGGCAAATACCCTGAGGTTCACATACCTGAACTAGTTGAATGAGTCCTGACCCTATGTGACCCTTTCTCTAGGTCAAGAATTCAAATCACCTCTGGTCCCCACTCTTCTCCAGTTAGCTTTGAACACTGAGCTAACATGAGAGCTTGTCTCTACTCTCAGGAGGTAAGTTTGACTCAAACCCAAGAGCACGTCATTCTTAACTCCGCCATCAGCTGCTTGATTTCTGAACAGATACCAGCAGCTGCTCTGAAGACACGTCAGACATGGCTAAGCCTAACAACACCTTTCCTCTCTCTCCCTTGCAATCTCTCCTACGGAGGCCTAGACTTCCAAACCCACAGCCAAGGTTAGGCCTTCAGCAGGCAGAGCTTTGCAAAGAAGCAAAGAATGTTGTAAACATAGAAATAAGTGTTCTGGGCTTGGGTGAAGGAATGGTGTTGGACTCCCGGCTCCATGACTGACTAGCTGGTGACTTTGAGTAAGCAATTTAACCTCATGGACCGTTCATTTTCTCAGCTATAAAACGAGGTCATGATACTGACCCTTGCAGAGCTCCTGTGAGCACCAAGAGAGTCAAAGAGAATAGATGTAAATGAAAGGTCTGGAGAGGTCCCTGGTACACAGTAGGCGCTCAAAAAAGCACATAAGGCTGGTGGGGTGTGGGACATACAAGTCCAGGTAACTGGTCAGAAATGTGATAGGCGTCACTCCCTAGGGGACTGGCAGATCCCTTTGTTGTGTTTTACCCTCGGGTCATGTGGGCACTTACTCAAAGCCAAATAGTAACAATGATCATAATTCTTGCTGGGCACTTTGAGAGAAAGGGAGGGAAAATGGAATTATTATTCTGCTGCTGACTGCCTCTTGATGTGACCAGAGGAGACAGGTAGAATATAGAGAGCACTGGGTCTGGGCAGCTGGAGTGGCAGTGCACCAGAAAGCAAATAAGAGAGACACCACCATATGTAAATGAACCTAAGTACTTTTAAAAGGACAAGCAGTGAAAAAGAGCAAGTCAAATTCCACCTCCTTCTGCAGCAATTAAACTCCACTGGCTGTAGGTCTGCCAGATCTCTCAAGGCTGGTTACTGCTTCTAACACAAACCAAACACCCTACCTCACTAAGCAGGCAGGAAGAATATTCTTGCTTCTAGCCTAGAATTAGAAAAGGCAGAGGCCATTAAAAATGACTGCAGCCTTCTAAATAGGAACAATCAAAATGCCGTATGCAAGTCTCCCATGAAGTCAGTGGAACCCACAAAAAGCTCCGGAAACAGACTTGTCAGTGCAATGGAGCTGAGTCCTCGATCAAGGCTAGGAAGTGCCTGGCACAGCTGCAGTCTTCTCTTCTGTTTACAACAAAAGCTTAACAAAGTTATGCTTTACCTAATTCTTCTGAAAATAAGCTTCTAAACGGCCAGGGCAGGGGGTATCACACTGCATCACTGCATCATTTTCTACTTTCAAGTTTCATTTACCAGGCAGGTTTATCTGCATAAAACACAGGGCTTAGTGCTTCCTGCACACAGTAGGCATTAAGTAAATATTTATTGAGTGAATACACATGCATGTCCCCAGTAAAGGTTTAGAATTAAATATCTGCACCTGCAGATCCAGAGCAGGCACTGATCAAAAGGGCTCAGCACTTGAAAAATTCCGTAGTATTGGTAACATGAAAATAACATTGCTGCAGTTTGCAAAATATTGGTACCTGCTGTTGGTTACCAAGAATGCTTTGCAATTAACAACTCATTAACAGAATGTACGAATTCTGCCAGTGCTAAAATATCACGCTGTGAATTTAATAAAGAACATGTGAGGTAAGTTTTCTTTTTTTTTTTTTTTTAAGATAGTATGGACTCTACTATCATAGAGAGAAAAGAAAGGGACAAAGAAAAAGGAGAAGAGAGAGGGAAGTGGGGTTAAGCATGAATAAGCAATATCTTATTTGCTGGTGGATTCATCGCCACACCCCCTGGTCACATCGTACCTCCCGGTACAATGATGACAATGGCCCTCTGCCTGGAGCCCGCTCTCAACAGCAGGAGGGAGGGTCACCAGGCCCTGGAAGAAGCCATGCTGCTCCCACAATGCCCTGCGGCGGCCCAGGAGAAGGTTCAAAGATGGCTGCAGACGGCCCCCGGCTGAGGCAGACAAAGGAGCTGGGCCTGGCCTGCCAAAGGGCCCCGCAGAGCTGCTCGCAGAGCATCTCCAACGCCCGCCGTTCTCTCTCCTTCCCCCCAGCTGCTGTGCCCCGGACAGACGAAGGCGGCCTTTGTGAAATATGGACAAATGGCTCCGGGCCGCGCGCGCTGCGGCCGACTCATGGAGCAAGCGCCATCACCAACCAAGGCAGCTTTTAATGAGAAACGCCCAAGATATCCATGGCAGGGGCCATCACTCAAAGCCGCTTGCCCTGAATTACATATTTTCTGACTGCAAATTACTCTTAACGGCGTCTCTACCGGCACTTCAATTGACCTTCCTAACAAAAGGCCATTTATTAACTAGTGCTCCACGTTTCCCAGGCCGCGCGGAGCCTCAAGCCAGGAAGGATGGCCCCGCGGCTGAGGACTCGAAGAGGCCATTCATGCGGGCCCTCTCACATCAAATCCTGAGGCCTGGTTGCAACAACCCCAGGTTGTATCAACAGCTCCTCATCCAGCATCCATCTGTATCTCAAAGTCCAAACTGCCCACAAAACACACTGACAGGTCTGTAGCATTTGGACAGTGCTTTGCAGCTCTCAAGAAGCTTTCTCAGGCTCCTTCCCAGTTGAAGCTCACATCAAACCTGGTAGGTGGCTGGGTTACCTCCCAGGAGTGGGACGACTGGTCTTCCTCCCTGGGTCTGGTCTGTTTTCCATTGTACTAGGCAGAAAGGCATCCAATTGAGAAAGCAGTTTCAACACTAATTATATTTTAAAATGCCAAAGCTTTTCTTTCTCTAGCCACAGCTCAATAAGTCAAGCAAGGGGGGAAAAAGTACAGAAGGATAAAAGTAGCATGGGATTAATTTTCCTGACACCTCAGTTTCAAGATTCAACATTCCCCTCATAAATAATTTACAACAATAAAAATGAGCTAAGGCCATGTTTGTGTAGGATGGAGGTAAATTTAGGCCTAATGAGGGAGATCCGAGCACCGCACAGTAGGGAATAGGTTGATCTATGGCACGGTGTGAGCAGGATCGACAGCTCACAGGGGCTCCATATCCAACTGGAAGTTGCAGGGCCAATCGGGAGGAGGGGGAAGCAAGATGGCGAAACTTGTGCCATCCCAGCTGTGGCTGCAAGGAAGGTCTCTATAGGGAACCTACAAAGTTGACCCAGTGTTTTGGATGACAAGACAAATGTTGAGATTTTGCAGAACTGTAGGATTGGGCCAATCTAAGTCTATTCTCAATACATGCTGGGTAAGGAATAAAGGTGCTGGGATGCCAGGGACTCAAACTGGACCTTGAGCAGGTCCTCTTACTTTCACCTCGCAGGTAATCAGGTCCCAGAAGGTTCCATTCTGACCTCTCCCCTGAGCGGGCATACAGCCTCTGCGAGGTCATTTCCAAGGCTGGGGACTACAGAGCCTCGGTTCAGGCGTTGCCTGCTCCTGAGAGGCTTCCTCTGCAAGGCAGGAGAGTAGCGTGTGTGTGTGTGTGCACATACACATACACGTATGCACATGTGCCCACATGTGTACGGAATGGGAAAGCTGGGGAGGGTTAAGGTGAAGTGTTTTCTAAGCCAAGAGGATTTTTTCCACCATGCCATACTCAAAGAGCATCATACAAACCACACAACAAAGCCAGGAGCAAGCTTGCTTCCAGCTTCCGCCTGCAGTGCTGCAGATAGCGCTTGGGGAGGCCCCAGCTCCCGGCACTGCAGCACCTAGCACAAGACTGTCATCCCAGGTTCACGGAGAAATGAACTTTAACTATAAAGACCCTTCATACAGACGGCACACTGCTCCCTTGTAGCTGATCAAAGAATTACTACAACAGTGTGCTTAATCCCTGAAAGTCAGCAGTGCTGGGCTTAACTGATGCTGAACATTGTTTCGGAATCAAAGGCGTGCCTCCCGGCCCCAGTCTGGGAGAAAACTGAGCTACTGTATCACAGTTGAAAACTCAGGGGAACTTTGATATCATCTCTGTTTAATTTCCACGGCCCTCCTGAGCCTGGGGTTTATCTCGTTTTATCAACTCCTGTACTGAAATCAAAACGCAACTAACAAAGCTCAGACCTCTCTCCACTGAGGCCCTTCCAGCGGCGGGGTGTGGGCCGAGGAGTTTAAAGTGCTTTCAGGGAGCAACAACTGCAGGGGGCAGGGGGCGCTGCCTTCAAAGGAGGTGCTGTGGGCAGTGGGCCCGCGTTCCAGCCTCCCGCCATCTCGGCCTCCTGCCGTGGTGACGCCGGCTCAGAAGCGGCGCCAGCGAGCACTGCTGGTCAAGGCTGAAAGCATGACTGGCATACAACTTTTGAGGAGAGTAATTTCGAAGTATTAAAGGGGGGCAGGCTAAATTGGGCTACTGTAATTGAAATGACAAAAACCGTGGCTTAATTACATCCCTACAGAAGGGCAAACTTGCGATCAGCTTGCTTGAAATCCAAAGTCAAGGGCACCAAAGACAAAAACTGCCTGCTCACATCTACCAGCTTCCAGGGCTGAGGAAGGGAAAAGAATAAACATTTCATTCGCCGTGGGAAACACCACAAGAGCAGGTGGCTGCTGGAAATGGGTTGTCCCCCAGTAAAAGCTGCTGCTCTGGCCTTCATAGAGAGGGTCTTTGCCTGTTTCCCAGCGGCAGCAATGGTCTGTAAGAATCCATGCCCACCTCTGGTGCCCCAGGATTACTGACACCTTTCTGCTGGCAAATTGCAAGCAAGGGTCAGAAGGACAGGCAAGGGACTG